GTTACAAACCAGAGTTAATAGTGCCGCAATTTCACATTTGAGTTCTTTCAGAACTCTTGGGTGAATGCCATCTGGTCCCGGTGACTTGTTACTGTTAAGTTTATCAATTAATTCCAAAATCTCCTCTAATGACACTTCCATCTCTGACAAGTCTGCAGATTTGTCACCCACAAAGGATGGTGCAGATTTGGAAATCTCCTTAACATCCTCAGCCATGAAGACTGAAGCAAAGATTGGTGGATGATGTGATGCAATATGGGGTTTCCCAAATACTGTGGACAATGTGAGCAACTGAACTTTTTAAATGCTTTGGAATGAGCCTGTTGGAGCTGATTCTAATTGTGTGCGAAGATTCATATTCGGCAACACTGATCAATTAGAACTTGGATACTGAATGAAATAGTTTTACTCCTAGTACAACAAGTGGTGTTCAGTGATCACTGAAAGCACAAATCTAAGACAATACCCCAGGCCCATTGACAGGGGGTTGGAGGGGTGGGAGAAAGGACAACTGCCCTAAGGCCTTAAAGCTTAAAGGGGCTTAAAGCTCAGATTGCTGCCACTGCCGTTACTGCTACCTTAGGGCCAGGGTGCTCTATTTCCTGCTGCCACAGTGAATCCACGTGCAGCAAGAAAGGGCAGCAGAGTAGAGAGGAGCAGACTTCCAGGCTATTCCAGCTGCTTCCCCATGCCAGGTCTCTTTCCCCAGGTAATCCCCTGGGCCACCCTGGGACCTGTCCATAGCATGGTTGAGGTTGCCACCATGAAGCCCGATCTGGCTAATCTACATGCCTCCGTCGAAGGAGGCATGTAGTCTAGACACACCCTTGAAGACTGAAGCAAAGAATTCATTTAGTTTCTTCACATTGACTTAAATAGTCGTTAAGTGATCCTTTTGTATCTAGACCATCCAGGGGCCCCACTGGTTGTTTAGCAGGCTTTCTGCTTCTGATGTACTTAAACATTCTGTTATTACCTTTTGAGTTTTTGGCTAGCTGTTCTTCAAACTACTTTTTGGCTTTTCTTATTCATTTTTACACTTCATTTGACAGTGTTTATGTTCCTTTCTATTTACCTCACTAGGATTTGACTTCCACTTTTTAAAAGATGTGTTTTTATCTCTCACTGCTTCTTTTTCATGGCTGTTCAGCCATGGTGGCTCTTTTTTAGTTCTTCTATGATTTTTTTTTTAATTTGGGGTATACATTTAAGTTGGGCCTCTATTTTGTTGTCTTTGAAAGCATCCATGCAGCTTACAGGGATTTTACTTTAGTCACAGTACCTTTTAATCTCTGTTTAACTAACCTCATTTTTGCATAGTTCCCCTTTCTGAAATTAAAGCCACAGTGTTGGGCTGCTGAGATGTTCTTCCCACCACAGGAATGTTAAATGTTATTATATTATGGTCACTATTTCTAAGTGGTCCTATTATAGTTACCTCTTGGACCGGATCCTACGCACCACTCAGGACTAAATGGAGAATTGCCTCTCCCCTTGTTGGTTCCTGTACCAGCTGCTCCAAGAAGCAGCCATTGAAGGTATAAAGAAATTTTGTCTCTGCATTTTGTCCTGAGGTGACAAGCACCCAGTCAATACGGGGATAGTTAAAATCCCCCATTATTATTGAGTTCTTTATTTTGATAGCCTCTCTAATTTCCCTTAGCAGGAACCGCTACACCAGCTGGGCAATAGGCTAGGGCACCCCGCAGGCAAGGGATGCTTTGGCATCCCAGTCCCGTTAAAGGTGAAGCTTACTAGTTAATCCTTCACATCCCTATGGATACCTGTTGTGTGGCAGCAATGCACAGGCCTAGAAACAAAAACTTAGGTGCCATGAGTATAATCATCTGCAGGTTTAGATGGCAGCTGAGTGGAAGCTTTGTGGCTCACATTGGTTCTTAAAAAACTCAGACACCTAGGTACCCTTAAGGAGTCCTGTGGCACCTTATAGACTAACTGAAGGTGCCACAGGACTCCTCGTCGCTTTTGCAGATTCAGACTAACACAGCTACCCCTCTGATACTAGGTACCCTTGTGGATTGGACCCTCAGGCTGTTTGTTGAACTTTAGATTAAGAAATGATTTAAAGGATAAATATGCTAGTTTCTAATTCTTCTTCTAGAAGGAAAACTAATAGGAGGGAGACAGAAGATTTCCA